CATGCTTTTGCACTTTCCCAAGGTATCTTTAAGCAGCTACAGGATACCGAGAAATCGAGAGCATCCAGTGGCTGCATAATTTTGCGCGGGGTTGACGACCGACTCTAAAACTATCCAGAAGCTGTCCCCGTCAGCATCCATTGCAACGTACACATTGTACATAGGGGGCCCCTTGAAAAGTACTAAGGGGAGGGGGGGTACGCTAAAGCACGTTCTTTTCAAGTTCCTTTCCTTAAAAGGGGAGGGGGGGCCCCCCCCTCCAAGTACATTTTAGGTAAGGTCGGCACGCCAGCTGAACCACGATCCACCTCGGAACAAGTAACAGTGGGTAACAAAGGTAATCACGTAACAGTAGTAGCAGAATTATTATTATTATTATCATTAGTAGTAGTAGTAGTAGTAGGAGTAGTAGGAATCGGGAAGTAATCATGGTACCAAGTATGAGTAATAGGTAATATATGTAGTGCATGTGCTAATAGTAGTACTAGCAGTAGTAATAGTAGGAAGAATGGTATTATTCGGAATGGTGGCAACAGTAGCTATCTGCAGAGATGTAGTCGTAATAGTATCATTAGCAGTTTTTACTACATGTAGTAATAGTATTAATCGCTAATGATAGTAACGCTAGCAGCACCACGGCTAATGATATTAGAAATGAAATGAATAGCGCAAAGAATGGTAACACGACCAATGCACGGACCCGGGTTGGGCCCGTTGACAACTTCTGTGCCTCTGTGACTGTTGTTATGTTTTTTGGGGTTTAGGGTTTGGGCACCCAAAATGACGCGGACCCGGGTTGGGGCTTTCGTGGGGGCTCCTTTACTGCACAAGTTTTGCTTCCGAACAGCCTGAATGGTCCCAAGTACTCACAATACTGAAATCCCGTCCAGAACCTGGGACCATTCATGGGAAACCCTTCCATGTTTCTGTATTTTTGCCGTATTAGTGTTGAAAGTTTGTGGGGTTCCATAACCGTATAGTGTATACATCTACTCTAGGGCCATGGGCTTGGAGTATTGTGTACACACCTACTCTAGGGCCATGGGCTTGGAGTCTAAACCCTACACGCTGTATAGTGTATACACCTACTCTAGGGTCATGGGCTTGGAGTCGAAACCCTACACGCTGTATAGTGTATACACCTTCTCTCGGACCATGGGCTTGGAGTCTCAACCCTACACGCTGTATAGTGTATACGCCACACCTACTCTAGGGCTATGGGCTTGGAGTCTAAACCCTACACGCTGTATAGTGTATACACCTACTCTAGGGCCATCTCGGCGTCCGCTGTCTCTTGCAGCTTGTTCACACAGCTGAAATGTCCTTGTGGGGGGGGGGCCTAGTACTGTGTTAGGGGTTGCCAGGATGCCAGAGAAATCAAGTTCTTTTCTGCCGGAACCAGCCGTAAAAGTACTTGGGGGGATCCCTCCCCCCCCCTAAGGAACCCCTATCACTGTACGCTGCGCATGTCAAGATGTCATTTGCATCAGATGGCTTGTGCAGGATTGATAACATGGACCCGCTACCGGTTATTGTTGTCCCGAATTCAGGCCTGGCCGGGCCCAGATGTGTGACACGACGTCTGTTTGTAGCTGGCTTCGCTTTATACTCGGCTATGGTAATATTGCATGGCGCAGGTGAGTCAGTTAGATCAAAAACTTCTGTGGGCATTGCTTGACGAAGAGCAATGTGGCGCTGTTGCCCAGCTGCAGTGGAGTGCCAGCTGCGTGTTGTACCTGCCATACATCCCCGCATAGCGGATGCCACTCAGTCCATGCGAGAGCGTCAGCAGGGCCAGGGAGCATCCCCTGTACTTTAAGCAAGTGTCCAAAGCCGCCGACATAAATTCACATTAGTGACGCAGAAGACCAGAGCCCAGCAGAGTCAGAACTACATGACCTGGCAGAGGCCAAGTTCCTCTTTTCTCATGGGACCTGGCATTTCTTGTTGAGGTTTTTCGCAGCTACGATTCTACGACCTTGCGTTCTGTGTTAACATAGGGCAAGTACAGGTAACAACCATCAGCATTTATGGAAAGCGAAGCAAGTGCAGCAAAGAGTGTCAACAAAGATTCAGGATACAGGAGGTACCCTTGTGGCACTCCACGAGGGATCCGCTTCGTGGGCAGTTTGAGCAGCTTTGAAGGTGAGCTTCGAGCATTTCGTGTACGTTGCTGCTGAGCTGCAAGGGAAGGAAGTTCGGCCAGCTGCTCACACATGCCCTCACAGTTTTCCAAAATCGCAAGTTGGTACTAGAGCACGCGCTTGTCTCGAGACAAGCTTCAATGCAGCCAGTTCGATGGGTGGCCAGAAACAGGAGGCAGCTTTAATGTGGTTCCTGGTGACCTACATACTTTGCCCAGGTCTACGGACACTTGCCCGAGGAGTCTGCATCAGAATCGGAAGGGGGGGCTGCACAATCCTCTTCGTTGAAATCTGCGAAGTCGTCAAAGTCTGTGAGAGTTCCAGCCATTGACGTCTTTGAGAGAAAAGACTCGTCGGCGTCACACAGGCCGGGTTTGGCGCAGATGTCAACGAAACGATTGGTCACGGCTGCATTCCGCTCCTCTGGTACTGACTGAAGGCTGCGGCCATCAACCTCAACGCGCTCAAATCGGTCAAGAGCAGTCCATTCTAGGAGAAAATTTGCTTAGGCTACCTTTTTCTTGGAAGTGGGGCCCCGTTAAATGTGGCGTGCAACATTGTGCAACAGGAGAAGAAAGCCAGCTGCCACGGCAGCTGAGTCGGATGCTCTGGCGATCGTGCAGAGGCACAGCTTTATCCTGCTTTGCACTGATGGGCCATGAACTGTTTGCTTGAAAGGTTGGCTGCCCTGGAAGAGAAGATGCTTGGTCGCTATGGCATGACGGCTTGCAGGTTGAGGTGACTGATCCGACACAAATCAAGGCTCAATCGACCAACTCAATTGTTAAGAAGTTTCCGTTGGCCACGCGACTTTCTTGTTTGTCCTTATGAAAGAGCTTGATGAAAAAGCAGCCTTGGCAAGCCAAGCAGAGGATCGATTCACTCCTGGGCGTCTTGGACGAGACTGGCCATGTGGATTCTAATTATTCTAATTTAATTAGCGCAGGATAGCGCAGGCAGTTGTCTTTCGTCATTTCGGGCAGCCAGGTTCGAATCCTGACAGAGGTGCACCCTCACTGTCAGCCGCTCGTCTGCCAGAAGCCTGCCATTTTTAGTACTTGTATAGCATAAAGATCATAAAGGGCGCATGGCCACTCTTTATGATGTGAAGGTTGCCGGAAGAGGACGACAAAATAGTTTGAATTGACAAGACATGGCCAGAGCCTCAGGGGACATCCAGCAGCACATGAGTGTCAACGTGTGCAACAGATGCTTGCCGACTAAAGGATGCCAGCCATTATTCCATGAAGATGCCGGAGCACCGCGCAGGGAGCCAGTGAATGCCAACGCAAAGGAAAGAGATTGTTGCAAAGTGGCGGTTGGAGGCAGACAAATGTCTCGCCTGCCCACGCCTCTAGATTGTCCACGCAGCCCGACTAGCCCAACATCATTCCTCTTGCCACATATCTTCCGGGCCAGCCGATAGGCGTCGCAACTGCGCTTCACTCTTTCACGGGGGTGTGTGGAGGTTGCTCCTAATGTCCCAGTGCTGACAAGTGCTTGCAGTCTGGGAAGCGAAAGATGTCCATTGCAGTTCTCATTTTTGTTTCCGCCCCTACTTGTGCTTCTTGCTGGAACAGCAGTTGCAAAACAGGGCAATGGTCCATGCACTTCGCACATCAAAGATGTGGTCTTGCGTGACATTTTGTGAGAACAAGTCCGCAAGCAAATGCAGAAGCAGTCGACATTGATTGCAGCATGAAGCCGGCACATGGAGAATGCCAAGACTTGCGGACCCAACAGTAGGTTGACATCACATCAGCACTTTGTTCACCGTCGGCGGTTTCAAGACGGAATGGGCCTCGGTGGTTTCACGGCTCGTGCTTAAGCTCCACCAACCCGGCAAGATACAAAATACACACGAAAAAAAGTTAACGTATTGAGCATATTTGAGCATACTGTTTGACGTAGCCAGCCTCCTTTCGCCCGATGCCGGGCAAATCTTGGTTGGCTGTTGTGTGCATTGAAAATGTGCCTTCCTGTGCTTTGGCCAAATCTTTCTGCAGCACATGGTATGGAAACTTGAAGCTTACATCCTAAGGCCAATGAGACCACAAACAAAAACCCTTCACAACAGCAGACGTTAGTGACGGTGTTGCAAGATGGGTCGAGCCACAGCCACTCTGAGCAGAGGGTTGTGGCAACGAGTTGTATTGGCTGCCGTGCTTTTCGCGCTTGTTGGGCCGTGGCCTGGATCTTTCTGTGAAGGCCACGCTGCTGGCATGAACTTGTCGCTAACCCCTCTTCTAATGTAAGCCGGCATTTCGTGCAAGACCAGTAGCAATGTACGCCTGCGAGCTTCATCGAACGACACGGGTTTTGTGCAGTTTGGTTGCGGCAGGGGCAGCACGCCGAAACGTCGTGCGCAGATGGCAATGCTGTGCAGAAGCCGAACCACGCGAGATGGTAGATTTATATGGAGCCTTGTCTCTCTTCAAGGCAGCTCCTGATCCTTCCATCGGTTGCGTGAGATCAGCGCACGTTCAGGCGCCCGATGACTGATGCTGGTTGTTTATACATTTGCCTATTCAGCCTGCACTCCCCCTCAGAGGGCCTTCAAGGTGTCAGCCAGCAGCCAGCGGTGAGACCTCCAAGCCTTCAAACTCAAGGATCCTGGTCTTTCAACCGTTCCAGGCTTGAAGCCATTCTCCCATTGGAGGGAAATGTCATTCTGAGGTCCTCCCAAACTTGTGATGGATGTGTACTGTGGAATTACAGCCCCAAGAGAAGTCGCCAGGGTGCAAGGTAGTGAACCCACCAATGTAATGCTAGGCTGAATTCGGTTAGGAAATCATGCTCAATGACTACGGTATCGCTAAAGATGTGCATTCAATGGCGCACAAACTGGTGCAAGGAATGAAAACCCGTGAGTTGAAAGCCTTTCTCAAAAAGAAGGGCATTTTCGTGGACGATTGCTTTGACACCGATTCGTCACTTGCCAAATGTACAACATGGCTGTGTCAATTACTGTCCGTTGGAAGGAAGGGCTGACAAGTCTGACAAGCTGGCAGAGGATTTATCGAAGTCCTTGGGTTCACTTGCCTGTACAGGAGGCAGCACCAGGAAGGCGTCGGGTCAGCTTCTAGGATGGAGGAATGTTTACATGAGATGATGATGCCCAATGTTCTGCAGGGCTGGAATTTGCAAGCTGCCGGTTACGAGGCTGATACAGCGTGCAGCTGCAACGGAGGAGGATTGGGGTTCGAGCAGTGAACGATCAAAAGCTGACTCGCAACTTGTCCACAGAAATTGTAGGCTGCATCGGATGAGGGTGCTAAGTCTTCAGAGCAGTGGGGAATTCATGGATGCATGTTCTCGCTGCCATGGGAGGGTATCAAAATCTGCCGACGTCAGCAACGCGGCAAAAGACAGGCCTCCCGAAGCGAATGAGATTCAGAAGGCTTGGGACCGGTTGCTCGACTCGCTCGACTAGTCTGGGGACACCTCAGCAATACTATGCAATACTTAGGGCAGAGCAGCTTTCGAAAGGGACTGCAGTCACGAGCCTCAGGCTTTGCGAAGCTTGGCCAGGTGAATCACCACGAGCCATCGGCTAAGGCTTCCAAGGCTGACAGACGAATAAAGACCCGAACCCCTTTATAAAATGTCTGAGGTGCTTGGTCCTCATGATGCTGATAAAACGGTCTTTCAGCTGCATCTGAGTCCTGAGACTTGACCTGATACGTCTTGCTCGGATGGTCAGGTCATTATGCTCCACGGCTTTGGGGACGAAAACGCGCAGCAGTGGACTCGGCAAAGCGAAATCTCATGGTGAAAGCTTTTTGTTTGCTGCAGTACATGAGGTTCCTGTCTGATACCTTCCAGCCGCTTCTCAACACACAAGGCCTGCGCTTGATTCTGCCACAAGCCCCGAAGGACTGAGATTCCTGCAAATTGGCTTGAGGAGCGTAGAGGGTAGAGGGTACTCTCAAACGTCTCATTTGCAAAGCGTTGAGCAGGAAACTTTGCAGGGTCAGCAGCTTCAGTCCTGGTTCCTACCGATGAATGGACAGTGGATTATTGACGACCAGGTTGGCAGTGAAATTCGCACCACCTGGCTTTTGCTAGTGCATTCAGATGTGTAATGATGTGTAGTTCTGCACTGCATCTTGGGTCCATCTGTCGCAGGTTGTTCAACCCGTGGCTGCGTATCTGCACGCAATGGTGCGGAGAGAGATTGCCCTCGGCGTGCAGCTCACAGCAGTTACTAGGCGTCCTCCATGAGTCCGTTGGATGCCTAAACAACCAGGTGCCAGCTCATCGGATCATCATCGGTGGCTTTGCACAGGTGCAAGCCGAAACTCTCGTGTGTCTTTGTTTGCTGCGTTTGGGCTGTTCACAGGGTGCTGGCTGTGCCGTCCGCGCAGCCTTGAGTTTCCCAGATGCACCGCTCGGCGGTGCAATTGCCCTCTCTGGGTTCTTTGGTGCACCAGAAGTGGCCCAGCAAAACTTTGCCTTGTGTGTGACAGATGCAGCTGCAGAGTCCCTGCAGAACCCCTCTTGGACTTACTGAGGTTAGCTCCCTGGCAGCAATGCCATGGGGCTACCTCTTGTCTGAGATTCAGACGTGCCACCTAGAATGGACTTCAGGAATGGAATTCTGCTCGACATTACACAAGCTTATCCATGACTCAGGCATTGCTCCATCGAATCGCCGCTTGCCGGTCTTGATTTGTCACGGGAAGACTGATGAAGTTGTGCCTTTCGATGAAGGTGCGAGGCAGGGATGTTTGCAGACACGACTTGCCTCGAACAAGACAGGCGCCATAATTTGGCGCCAACACTGTGAAATCTTTCGGCGCGGCGTGCCATTGCGTTTGTCATAATAATGTGTTGGCTGTAGATTTGTGATCACGCAATTGGGTCATTTGGGAAGGGAAGCGCTTGCCTGTGACTTCTCGCTGTCACACAGCTTAGTGTAGTACTCCGCAGGATGGCCACCCTGCTGGGCAAGAAAGATAGCCAGATGCCTGTGGTGTTCAAGGAGTTACTTGGAAGATCAGAGTTGTGTCGCTTGCTTTGTTTGAAGCGTGTGCGCCCCACCTGTGACTGGCCATGGGTTGGGCTTGCAGGTATGACATGAAGCATGGCATCGCCAGTGACGAGATGATGAGCATCCTTGCAACCCGGCTGCACCAATGCACGCAGGCTTGCTGTGTTAAGATCTGCGACCAGTGTGCGTGATGGCACGCTAATTTTTGGCACGCACACTCAGACGATTAATAAGCTCCTGCATGAGATACAAGTAGGATCACAAAAGTACAATCTACAGTTAGGTCTGAATAAGTGTGTTAACGTAACCATCAATCAGCGTCAGTCATCTGTGAAATTTCTTGACGGTTCGTATGTACCTCGTAAAATGCAAGCAGTTCATCTTGGAGCAACCCTTACAGATGCTGTTGATAATCGCAGAGAAATTCTGAAAAAATCGGAGAAGCAAATAGCATAGCTAACTGTCTCAAACTTTTTTGGTCCAAAGCTAGAACCACTAAAAGATGGAAGCTTAGGGTCCTGAATTCAGTCATTTTTGGCAAGTTGCTGTACGGCTTGGAAACAATACAGCGAACTCGTGCAGAACAAGACCGCATAGATGCATTCCAAATGAAAATGCTTAGACGAGTTCTACAGGTACCACCTACACACGTGGATCGAGAATTGACAAGCCAGAAAGTAATCAGGACGTTAACTGACACAGCAAAGAACAAACATGTCAGACTATCAGAAACATGGCATAAACGAAAAATCACAGTACTAGGACACATTTTAAGATCAACCACAACAGATCCGATGAGACAAGTCCTTTTCGAGCAAGGCACGTATGCGCCCCGCATTGAGCACACACAGAGGGCTGGCAAGCCAAGAGCAAATTGGCTGATCGAGACCTGCAAACAAGCTTTCGCGATATCAAATCCCCACACTGACTTCGATAATCTTTGATATTAACGGTTCCGATCAAATGAGGCATCTTGCGAACAGGGCGGCTCATAGACAGGCTCGTTTCAGGGTCAACCAATAACAATCGAAACGAATGCTTCATCGAACATCTCACCGAATAGCTCTCTAAGAGCCAGGGAAACGGACTCACGCCAAATCGAACCCTGAGCACTGGTGAGTTTTTTTGCCATGGTCCAAGAGACCCAGGGGCACCCAAAATTTTCCCCTGCTGTAGCAGCTGTATATAGGCTGGGCAACCCTAAGCTCCAAACCGTGGAGTAGCGTGATGAAAAGAAAGACCGCAACCCACAACAGCCACAACAACAATGAAGAAACAAAGAGTGGGGGCGGGAAGAAGGATCACCCCGGGGGGGGGACATCTATTTTTCTTTAACCCCCCCGGAAATGATTGCAGGAGGGGTCTTGGAGCTCGCAACAGAGGACTATGCAGCCGACATGGAGAGGTGTGTATGTGTGTTTTTATGGGCATGCCACGACCAACCGGACAAGCAGGCGGAAATGCTTGGGATTTGTCGGGGGGTGGCAGAGCCCTCTAGGGCCCCTGCCGAGGCTCCAAACACAGCAGACAACAGCCCAACCAGGCACTGCGGAAAGCTTCACAGAAGCCCTCACAGAGGAAATCCATTGATGGAGTGTGTCCGCAGCATTCTCCAAGTCCAAGTGCTTGAGAGGCTCAGAATGGCAAAAGTGCCTACGGTGGTGACAAGCTGGCAAAGGGGCGGGCATTACACATGCCAGCATCAGACCTTTCACAAATCCACTCAGGTCAATGTGGTAAATGTGGTAATTAAGGTACGCTGGCATGGGAAACTGGGCGCTCGCCCCCGCAGCCTACATGGCTTTTCCTGATTTGAGGTCAGTCTTCAATCAGGTGAAGAAGCTAGGGGATTTTGTAGAGGCATGGACGACGCACTCCGAATCCCAGGTTCCGCCGCCTTACTGGGCAGACTTCGTATTCGGATACATCACCCTCATGGCCAAACTTCCAACCCTGAGCAGTAAAGCTTCATATGAGAGTTTGGACTGGAAGTTCACGCCGCGTGACCTTGTTGAGTGGGCAAGGCGCCACTCGGTAGAACAGCAGATCAAGGGTGAGGCGAGCGACCCCAATCTTCTAGTCCAGGGGACAATCAAGCCACAGGGCGCCGCACTCGGCCTCTTCTGCGCATCATGGCCCCCACAAGGCTGGGAATCACAAGGAAGTGAGCCAGCGACCTTGTCAGACGAATCATCCTGTCCAGACTACCATCGAGAAGTACATTGAGCACAACAGCAGAATCTGCCGATTGGCTTCTGGAAGGCAAAAGGGTGTCAGCAAGGGCCTGACCAACGTCCTGCGTCACAGCGCGGACCGCCTTGGTCTGAGCATTCGCAGCGATGGATTCCTGGCTGTGAAGGACGTGATCAATACCAAAAAGTTCAGAAAGAAAGAGTATGCACCTCCGATGTTGTGAGGGCAGTGCATCGCAACGACAAACAAAGGCTCGAACTTCGATGGCTGAAGTCTGAAGACAAAGCCTACACCGGGGAGGGTCCCCTGGACTGCAGTTGTTTGTGAGAGCTGTGCAAGGCCACTCTCTTGCGTCAGTCAACCGCAGAATTTCTCCAGCAGCTGGGAGAGGCTGACCTCCCTGCAACAGCGGTCCATGGAGAACGTACGATGATTTCTATGGGAGCATCGTCGAGAAAGGATTGTTGGCCGGCCCAAGCAGGTGCCGCCAGCACCTGCACTTTGCGTTAGGGTTGCCGCGTCAGCGGCCCTTTTCAGGTATGTGAAGCACTGCTGATTTGGGCCTATGGTACGACCTCCAAGCGGCAACAAGAGCGGGTGCCATCTTTTATCGGTCCCGCAACGATGTCATTTTAACTCAAGGCATCAATGGTGCTCTGTTTGCAAGGCACCTGAAATACGTCCAGGTGATCAGTTCTGGGGAGACCCTGCCATGTGATGCGGAACCCCCGGCACCAGGCGCCGTAATGGACGCTTTGATTCGCGCCCAGGGAAGCCGCTCATAAGCCCCTGTGGACGCGAACAAATCGGCTCGCGCACCCAAGCAACACATGCTCCGTGTCCCCTGCAGGTTGTGTCACGCTGATGCATCACCCTACCATAATGCAGCACCGCACAACCCTGGACATGTTTCCAGGACCTGTGGGCGATGTGCAGCGCGGAGCCTCAGAGATTTTTCATTCAGGGAATCCACATGCCGAGCCCAATACCAGGTGATGCAGCGTAAGCCCCCAAGCAGACCTTGCGCCGCTTCAGGAGTACCTCCCCTAGAAAGAAGCACCCCCACAGAAACCAACAATGCAGAACACATAGTAGGCAAGCAGCCAAGAGAGCTATGGAGACAATCCTTTCAGCATGCAGTGGTGCTGACTGTGACAAAACGCTATGTGACTGGTTCAGCCTCAGAAAGCACGTCCAGGAGAAACGTTGCCCAGTACTGCTTGGAAATCATGAAAAGCAACACAAGGGAACCACAATGGGTGCCAAAGAACCGGCCCCAGAAAACGAAGCTAACTAAGGACAAATACCATATGCTGACTGTGAGCATGTTACGCAAGCTGTCGTCAGGTATGAAGACAATGCGGGGCTTTTCATCTACCAGACAGACAAGCGTTCACCCACCACTGTGCACTCTGCCATCAGTGGAGTACCGACCCAGGTAAGATGAAGCAGCGTTACCGCCTGCCCATGCCGAAATCTATGAGCGGCACACGCAACCCGCAAGCAGTCTTTGCTCAAGATTCAACAACCCAGGGTCACCCTGCGTGCGCTGTGGGACCAAGACGAAAGCGCCCAGACAGCATGCTGCAAATGCACAGTTCTTTGGCAGAAGTGTGTTCTGCATCTCGTGCAACTCAGGTATGGATGCCGAAATTGAAAACTGCTTCGGGCCGTTCCTTCCACCGCGCGCAGATCTCTTGACCCAGGACTCGGAGAGTCTGAGCTCCAGAGATACCAAGGCTCAGAAGCTGGAGCACGGCAAAGGCAGGGGCCATCAGCACCGACGCCCCTCACCGTTCCGCAAAACATCAGAAGAGGTCGGTCACAAAGAACCAACAACCAGAGTGTTCAACAGACAATGCGGGCTCTACGGCAGGACACATCCTGGGCGCTTTTCGTACAGCCGGGGCCCCACAGCGCTCTGCAGCTCCTCTTCAAAGTGAGGCAGACCTGGAAGGAGAATCAAAAGAAGGGATCCGTCAATCGGGCCCTCAGAAGTGCGCTGATCACCTGCATGATGGAGCATATGGAGCACCTGCTCAAGATCCCTCAAAAAATGTCAAGGAGCCGCTGCAGGAACGAGCGAACGCCCAAGGTTTGCTTACGGAGAGGGAGGGGCAACACAAAGTTGTTCACCCACATTGGGAGCCCTGTCTGTGGAAAGCGCACGGGCCCCAGTGAGCAATCCGGATCTGGCGCAAGCACTACAGCAAATGATCCTCCTCGTCTAGACACTGTTCATGGTGAACAGGTTCCATGCAAATCGGGTGTTCACAGACACCACGCTCCTCGACAGCACCAATACTTGCTACCTGAATGAATGCCATGGCGGTTGCACGGCTACATGCAATTTCATGTTTAGGTTGCACTGAACACGTGGCATATGGGCCGAAGTCCCAGGCCCGGAGAGACGTCCTTTTCTCCACTAGACCTCTTCATATTCACAAGCTTAACTCATGGAGAAGTGTCCTTGCAGGCTGGTGTCATCTACACCAGCTGCAGGATGCCGTTGAGATGCTTGAACACTGGGTAGCCGTTGGGCGGCCCCGGTGGTTGCTGGAAGATGGGAGACTCGGGTAGAAAATGACAACTTGATTGAGGTCAGGCATTATTCCTCCTCCCAGATTGCCCTCACCCTAGACCTACCACAGTCTAACGAATCCCATAGCCTTCAGCATCTTGTTGTTGCGTGGCATGCACAGCAGCTAGGGATTCAGGCTTTTTGTGACATGAGCTCAGAGTCTCACGCTTCTGCAGACAAGGCGATGCCACGCGGAAAATCATCACCCCAGTCATAGTTGAGCCTTCTCTGACCATCCCAGTCTTTGAAGACGATACCTTGCAATGCCCATATGCCACCTACAGAGCTTTCAGTCATCATGCATGCAGGCTTAACTGACTTTTTGCAGCTTTGGAGGGTCATCATCAGGTTGCTCCGTGGAGCACGGATGATGCAAGGCCAGCACAACTGCTGTCAAGGGATCCTGTGAGAGACAACGGACTTTCACATCAGTCGTGCGTTTGGCTGTTGGGGAGCTGCGAATGGACGCTAGGGGACTTGTGAAGCGCAAGAGTGAGCAGACAAAAAATCTTCAGCTGATCAGATCAATCTGACTTAGTGTGCCTTGTAGGCCACTTGTACAGCGCGGTGTACAGTGGTACATAGCTTCCACCTCTACACTTGACGTTAGCTTGATAGCTGTGGAGTCATTCAAGGGCTACTCGTAGCATTGACTCCCACAGTGAACTTTGCGCACCAGATGCGCCGGCGCTAAGCCGCCACACTTAGCTGTTCACAGGCCGACCGGACAGGCTGTGCTGGAATGGAATAGTAATAGTAGTAGTAGTAGTAGTAGTAGTAGTAGTAGTCGTCGTCGTCGTCGTAGCAGTAGAAGTAGCAGTAGCAGTAGCAGTAGCACTAGCAGTAGCAGTAGCAGTAGCAGTAGTAGTAGTAGTAGTAGTGATAGTGGAAGTGGTATAGTGGTAGTGGCAATAATAATGATAGGAGGAAGGGTGGCGGAGTGGAAGTAGAAGCATTGGTATTATTCCCCCATTCAGTGAGGGGTTCTAATCGTTAAATGTGCCGTCGCCCGCCGACGCACACGCTCTTCCGTCGCGCAAACATTCGGGGCGCGCTCAAGTTCGCTTAAAAATTGCGCTCTCGCTCGAGACATCCTCAAAAAATCGACGTTTTGTCGATTATCGAACAAAAAATTACAATCCCTCGCCTTTAAAGTGCTCTTCGTAGAGGGGTCGATACCTAACCGGTCGCGCTCGTGATTTTTGAAAATCGCGTTCCCGCGCGAGACATCCTCAAAATTTCGCGTTTTTCGGACTTTATAAACAATTTAAAAAATCGCGCTCCCCGGCGAAACAACTCGATTTTTTTGACGTTTTAATCATGTTCGTGTCTTAAAATCGCGCCTTCGCTCGAGACATCCTCGAAATTT